GGTTCCATATCTTAGCTATGGTAAATAATGCTGCAATAAACATAGTTGTGCTGGTAGCTTTAGTGTGGTCTTGTTTGTAAACATTTGGGTAAAAGGGCATGTCTCTTTTATGAACACTCACTTTGTTCCTATCTAAATGAGAATTTAGATTCCTGAGATGGCCAAGAGGACCGAAGGAGAGAATGTTCGAAGATTCAGGTCAGCATGTGGCCCTACCTGCTGCTTCCATTGCTTCCTTGAAGCCCACCTGAGCCCCTCCTGGAGGGAGAGCAGGCTGCCAGCACTGAGTTTGGGCTCAGGCAGACCTGTGTTGGAACACAGTGGTTGCAACTGTGTGACCCAGGCCTTTCTGAGCCTGTTTCATTGTCTGAGAGATGGAGCTAAATAAGAAACAGAAGATAAGTGTATGTACTTGGAGGAGGCTGCATGGCCAGAACTGCCCCTGGCTTTGATGCCCTCTCCCTGTGACATTCAGGGGTACCCCAGCTGGCTGCCCCTGTCTGAACCTCCCACGCTGGTCTAGCAGTGGATACCACCAGTTCAGCCTGCTGTTTTTGGTCTATGGCTGCACACTAGAGTCCCCAGGGCGATTTAAAAGACTGTCACTGGACCCACCTAGTGTAACTGGTCAAGAAGTACATCTAGGACATGGGATTTGACAGTATTCCAGGTGGTTTGAATATGCTGACAATGTTGAGAACCACCAGAATATTCTTCAAAGCCTCAGACTTGCCCGAGGCCTAGCCTTTACCCAGGGTCAAAGAGGCTCCAGGCTCTTTACTGGGATCCCAGCCTAGCTCTCTCCTGTTCAGTCTGCTAAATAATTCATGGCCATTTCTTCCCTTGAAGCCTCAACTACAGGGTGCCTGAGGGGAGAAATATCAGTGTCACTTGTTAACTGCATACTTTCTCGGCAAAAAGCACGGGAAAGAGCTGGGGCTAATCCTCCAACAGGGGATGCTGGCCATGGTCTGAGCTCAGCCAAAGCCAGTGGCAGACAGGGGTGAGACAGACTGAGCTGGGAATGAAGCAGGGAAAGCTCAGTTCTGAGCCACAGTTCACAGCTCTGGACGTTTGATTCAGTGATTCTTCAAGCACCATCATGCCTGCCAGATTCATGCCACCAAAGTGCACCTAGAGATCACCCACACACCCAGGCTTCCATCCATGTGCCTAATTGTTCACATTCATCCATCCATCTGTCTGTCCATCCATGCATCCATCTTTCCATGCATACAGGCATCATCCATTAATCCATTTACCTACTTATATATATCCATCTATCCACAATCTATCCATCCTTCCACGCATCCAGGCATCATCCATCTATTCATGTACCTACTGCATCCATCACACGTCCATCTATCCACCTACTCATATATCCATGCATCCTTCCACAAATCCAGGCATCATCCATCTATCCACCTATCTAGTCACATCCACACATGCATCCACCATCCATCCCACATCGATCCATCTACTTACTCATATATCTATCCATCATCCATCCACTCTTATATCCATCCATCTAATCAGCTGTTCCCTCTACTATCCATCCAAGCATCCCATTTACCTGTTCACATCATCTACCTGTCCACATATCCCCTCAAAACATCCACCCATTCACCCCTTCAACTATCTATCTATCTATCTATCTATCTATCTATCTATCTATCTATCTATCTATCTATCTATCTATCTATCTATCTATCTATCTATTTATCTATCTATCCACCTGTCTATCCTTTCTCTTCACATATTCTCCCTTCATCCATTTAGCACTTGTGCATTCCTTTGTTTCTATAATAGTTTCTTTGGGCCTACTATGTGCCAGTCTATTTCAAAAGATTGGCACACAAACAAGGAGATTTTAGATAACTTACATTTTATCTGGGGAAAGACAGATGATCAAGTAAGTAAATATATGCACATGATAACTTCAGCTATTGTTACAGGTAAAGAAGACAAGCGTAGGTATGTTCAGAGAAGGCAGAAATTTCTGAAAAATTTGGCCAGTACATTGAAGTGTAGCTATTTGAATGATAGTTTGGGTAAAGAAGACAGTAAGTGCAAGAGTCCTAAGGTATCTCTGTTGTGTCTGAGGAATCAGAGAAGAAAGGATAAGGAGATAAAGTCATGATGATCGGCAGGGCTCCAAATGGCCAGAACCCAGTGGGCAAAGGAAATGGGCCTGGAGTATTAGAGGTACTAAGGGAAGGTGGTAAGGAGAGGGCATACATTTTCAGCTCTCTGGCTGCTATGTAGAGAACTGACTTAGAGACAGGAAAGAAGGGAAGCAAGGAGCCTAGTTTAGAGGAAATGAGGCGGTAGGTTAGACCAAGGTGGTGGCAAGTAACTTGATGGAAAAATGGGTTCAGAACTTGCCCATTAGTTGAGCTCAAAGGATTTTATTGATGGGCCATGATTCCCTAACCCTCAGCCCAATAGTTCAGGCTGACTCCCCGCTCTGTCCTAGTCTTCTATTCTTTGTAGGGGAATCATTTTGGCTTACCATCTCTACACCACACTCTAGGTGTACATTCCAGGCTTGTGGACAGCCAACAGTGGAACCAGCTTTTCCAGGTCTGTGCTGTGTGGCCTTGGGCAAGTACCTTCCCTTCTGCAGGCTCTGGCTTCCATCCCATAGGGAGAAGAAGTGCTCCACACACCCAGCTGGCCAGTGTGGCTGCTAATATGTCACCTCTAGTTTTGGCAGGAAGGTGGCTGTGGGGCACCCCAGTCTACAGCCTGGCAGCATGCTGGTTCTGAGACATTAATTGAAGCTTACACATTATAGGGAAGAGTCTGAACTGTGTTTTCTGAATCAGACAGACTGTCACTTGTTATGAGACCTTGGACAAATGACTCTAACTCCCTTAACTCATGAGGACACGGTGCAAAGTGCAGCTAGGGATGTAGCGGGGGTGGGTCTCCTTGTCATTCCTCCCCAGCCCACCCCAGAGAGGGCTAAGTAGGCTGCTGCCATCTGGCTCCTGCCTCCAGCTCCCGGGGGGCCTGTGTGAGAGCCGGTGGCTAATGTCCACCCGCCCATGAAAAGCCCAGCACTCATCTTACCTCCAAGGCTTCGTAGTACATATTTTTAGCTTCCATATCTGTCTTGGCAGACATCAGCCAGGATTTGATCAAATATTCATAAAAACTGTCCCCAAGTCCTCCAACCGAGACGTGGTCTATGAAGGAAGAGGACAAGAGTGTTATTTCATCTGCCTCTGGCTGTGCGGGACCAACAGCAGGCGTGGCTCAGTGGCCCAGGGCTGGGCATGGGGGGAACTGGCATCTAATCAGCTGCCACTGAACCCCAAGTAGGGGCCAAGAAGACACACAGTCTGTGATGTGCCCAAATGCATGGGCTCATGGTCCTTAGCAGGCTGACACAGGCCCTGGTTATTTATTAGCTGTAAATGAGCTGTGCTTCTTCAGAAAGATAATCTGGTGGCAAGGAAGTTCAAGACTTTATTGTCTAGTGACAAACACGGTAATTAACTAAATATGGGGCTGCTTCAGTAAAGGGCAGACTAAGGAGGAGTAAAAGACCAACTCATCATAGACCCTTTGGAATGACTGAGTTTCAATTGAGTAAATCTGAACAAAGGGGCTCAGGATGAGGTAGGCTTGAAGGCCCTCCCTTGCCCCAGCATTGCTGCCAGGGTGACTCAGGGAGCAAGGGGAAGCATAAAAGCATTGTACAGACTTAAAGGACACAGAGAGGAAGGGGCATGGGTAGCCCAAAGTGGGGATGAGTGGTGGTCTCAACTCCTCTGGAAAGGAGGGGAAGTGAGAAAGAGGTGGGGGGTGTAGAGTATGTCCACAGCTGCCATGAATCGGGTAGCAGCCATAGCCAGGAGTTGATTACTGATTATTATTCAGTCTTCCATGAAGCTCTTCAAGCAGCACCATTGGCCCCTTTCGTGGGTGGAAAAACAGTGGGAGCCTGCATAGCTTGTCCACGGCCACCACATGAAGTGAGGAGCCCTCACTGTCTGCACGGAGGGTGATAACAAAGATGCACAAAGGCAGGACAAGTGGGGAGAGAGTGCCAAACAACAGGGGAACAAGTGCCACCTGGGTAAGGGTGTAGGGAGGAGAGACAAGCACACAGCAAAGAGCCCTTGGGCTCTGGTGCTCCTTTTCATTTGTGAATCCTAGTCTAGAATTTCAATACTGGGCAGGTCTGCAGGAGACGAGGGGAGGCTAGACATTAAACTGGGTCAGCCTTAGAGCCCTGATAGCTCCCCACTGCCCTGGAAGTGGGGAGCCAGGGGCTTGGTAGCCGAAGACAGCCTCTCCTGTCTCCTGACTCATTGCGGTCTCTTCTCTCTGCCACTCTAAACATGCGGGCTCTGCTTTCACATGTGCCCTGGCTTGTGCTGATCCTGGCTTCGCTTGTCCCCTCTCCCCACCCTGGGTCTAGGTTAGGTTTTGTCCCTGCTCACAGCCACATGGATTTATCTGGTGAAATCAGTGGCCAGTGCCCCTCTGCGGGGGCAGCGATCCACACAGCCATGGCAACTGGCTGTTCCGAGTGTTGGTAGAGGCACTGATTACGGGCCTGCAGCCCCTGTAGCCCTCCCCCCCACCAGACTGTGGGCTCTTCATGGGGATCCCACAAAGAGAGAATTCTCTCTTGTGCTCTGGATCTACATGGAGGCAGAGGCCCAGTGGGTATCCAGAGCCAGCTTTAGCAGGGTGCCCAGCAGGGACTTGGGAGCCGCTCTGAACTCTACCAAAGTGCTCCCTCAGCCCTGCTGTCAGTGGTGAGGCAGGACTGGGCAAGGCACTCCATAGGTGACCAAGTAGTGTCATAACAGGGCCCTGACTAGGCCCCCCGCCTAGTAGTTCTTGGAGGTTTAAGATACAGTGATGATTAAGGAGTGTTCCCTCCTGTATGGTCAGGCCCTGTTTAAAAACCTTTTAAAAATGAGAGCTTATGAAAGAGGCTGGAGGAGGGGGAAGGGCCTCAAGCCACTTCCAGAGCAGTCAACTTATGTGGGACCGACAGCCTTTTGAGTTTGGGGAAGAACAGGGGAGGCTGAAGGATAGGGGTGTGTGAAGGGCAGCACAGGCAGGGCTATGATAACAGACGCCCTCACACTCACCACAACAGCACCAGAGACAATGAAGAGGTCTCCCCAATGCCTGGGAGGCAGGGACTGTCCAGGAGCAGGTGCCAATGCCTGGCTGGGTATAGATGCCCAGACCCAGGAAGCTTGAGTGGGAACCCAGGGGACAGACAAGAGGCAGTACTGTAGATACTCACGTTGCACCCAGTTCCCGCTCACCGGGCTGAGGAAGTTGGGGTAGAGGCCAAAGGGCTTGTCGATTTTCCTCAGGACTTTTCTGATATTCCTGACCTTCAAGAGATACAGGACAAGCTGCCACTCTCCAGAAGAAGCCACAGCAGCTCCACCCACCAGGGCTCAGATTCACATAGAAAACCATTCCACCGGGGCAGGAGGGAGAGCAGTGAATGAATTTCAGGTCCTCCCCAACAAGGCGGGAGGGTAGCCCCGCCCCTGTGCCCACATGCAGTGTGACACACTGCTCCATTGGGCTAGCCCACCTCCCCTGGCTACTCTGCCTGCTCCTACCTCACCCTGCTATAGGATGCTTTGGGGATTTGTTCTTTTTTGGTGGTGGTGAGGGTTTAGTTTCTTGCCCCACTGTGAGGTACTGGGGTTTGAACTCATTGCTTTCAGCTCACTTGGCTTGCTCGCCTGCTTGTCCTTCTACCGCTTAAGCCATGCCAGCTCTTTGTTGGTTATTTTGGAGATGGAGTCTCATGGACATTTCTGCTGTGAGTGGCTTTTAACTTCAGTCCTCTAAGTCTCAGCTTCCTGGGTAGCTAGGATTATAGGTGTGAGCCACTGGTACCCAGCTGTAAATTCTCCCTTGCTTTTTTATTGCTATTATAAAGGCTATGTACAGAGGAGTTACATTGCATAAGTCAGGTAATGAGTGCATTTCTTTTGGAAATTGTTACCCCTTGTATATTGCCTTTTGAATAGGCCACATGTTCAAATCCAGAAATTCCATTGTTGAATCCATAAAAGGAAACAAAAATCAGTATGTGGAAGAGATAGTTACATGCTTTTGTTCACTGAAGCACTGCTTACAATGCCAGGATATGCAATCAACCCAAGTGTTCATCAATGGACAAATGACTAAGGAAAACGTGGCATCTACATACAATAAAATATTAGCCCCCAAAAAGGGCATTCCAGCTGGGTACTATGGCACAAATCTAGAATTGCAGATACTCAGGAGGCAAAGAGCAAGAGGCATTGCAATTCAAGACCACCTGAGGCAAAAAGGTAGTAAGACAACCATCTCAATCAATAAACTGGGCATAGCAGTGTGTGTCTGTGGTCCCAGGTCCATTGGAAGCTCTGGGCAGAAGAAGAAGGGCTGGAGGCATGGCAAGTTGGACAGTGCCTGCTTTGCAAGTGCAAGACCCTGAATCCAAACCACAGTACTGCCAAGAATATATATATATATATATATATATATATATATTTTTTTTTTTTTTTTTTTTTTTTTTGGGTCCGGTCAGGGGCCTGAACTCTGGGCCTGGGCGCTGTCCCTCAGCTCTTCAGCTCAAGGCTAGTGCTCTACCACTTGAGCCACAGCGCCACTTCCGGCTTTTTTCTTTTTGCTTATGTGGTGCTGAGGAATCGAACCCAGGGCCTCATGCATGCAAGGTAAGCACGCTACCACTGAGCCACCTTCCCAGCCCCAGGAATATATTTTTTTAAAAGAATCAAAAGGACCTTATTTTTAAAGTCTTTGGGGATTGGGAGTGTTGGTTAAAGGATACAAATTTCAGATGAGAGAAGTTCAAGAGATGTACAGTTAAAACACGGTGACTCTAGTGAGCATCAATGAGCTGTACCCTTGGAAGTTGCTACGAGAAGTCTTTGGTGTTCTCTGCATTGCTGACTTCACGTAGTTCAATTCGAAAGCATGTTAGTTTATGTGACCCCTTGGGAGTCAGTTCAGGGGCGAATACCCTTGTCTCTAATTGGCATCATAGGGTTTCAATAATAGTGGTAACACTGACAACAGCAGTTGTCAGCATCTCCGGCCCGCTATACACCACCCCCAGCCCTCACAGCTGTCAGGTATTGTCAGCTCAGCATCACAGCAACTCAAATCTCAATGGGTTGGCAACTTGCTAATGGCCAGCTGGTTCTCAAGTGGCAGAACCAGGACATTAATCAAGTTTATATGACCCCTGGGGCCATACTCTGTGTGGGCCCCATGGCCACACAGGATGGTGGCCACACAGCATCATGTAGCTGAGGCAACTCTGGGGTTGTGCAAGGTGAGGTGGGATTGAGGCTTCTCCATAGGTGTCTGCTCCAGTCGACACTGTGTCCGATTCAGTGCAGATTCCTCCAAGAGAGGATCGAACCAAGCTGTCATCTCTCCGTAACAGGTTAATCAACACAGTCTGGAGCTGAGGGAGCAGCCCTTCAGCTGTCAGACCTTCTTCCCAGGACAGAACTGAGCGCTAGCATATCAGATTTCATGTCCATTCATGTTAGCAGAGCCCATTATAGGGACAGGAATGTATTTGTACCTGAGCTATTCTCAACTGTCCTGGAGGTGAGCAGTGAAGCAGGCTAAATTAGCTCCTCTGGAGGGGGCGGGCACTTCCAGAATTTGGGTCAATTTGTTGACTGCCAATAATTGCCTCTGTGGGAGGCGTGACTGGAGGATGAAAATAGCCAGAGTATGCAAATGAAGGACAGAGACGGATGGACAGATTCTGGAGGAACAGTTTGAAGTTTGATGTACTAATCTGTTGTGGAAAGAGCTGGAAAGTCCTGGGCCCAAATTCCAGCCTTATGGATTACCAGCTGGCTGGCCTTGGCAGGGTACTTAGCCTCTCTAAGTCTCAGTTTCTGCCTCTGTAAAATGGGGAAATAGGAAGATTGACTCTTCAGGATGCTGGGGGTCAGTGACCACAGTGTGTCCACCTACACAGTAGGCACAGGCAGTGGCAGTCATTACTCCAGCCTAACTAGGGGCAGCCTGCGTTCCTCATCTGCTCTGTCAGACCTCCCAAGGGAGGCTTGTTGCAGGGCAGTGGGTAGAGGGTAAGGGATGGGAGGGTACAAGGCCAGGGGCCTAGAATGGGAGAAGGGTCAAGAGAATCAGGGCTAGGATTACATTTACCCCATGAGCTGTCAGAGGAGTCCCAGGAGGCCAGGTCTCTCAATAGGAGGAAAACGGCTGATGGAAGGGCTGAGCATAATATAGTATAAAGCATGGGAGGTAGCCATCTGGGCTGAGCAGTTCCTCCAGATCCTTGAGGGTACTACTCTGAGTGAGTAGTGGTCTCAAACTGGTATGGAGGGGCATAGGGTAGCTGTAAGCAGGTAGAGCTGTAAGCAAACTGCTCATCTCCCAGTCTCCTTGCTAATCTAGGAGCTGGTATTCCAGAGGGAAGAGAGGAGGGGCCCCTACTCTCTGTACAGGTCTGTCCTAGGGAGGTGCTGTAAGGTCTGGAAGGGCACACTGCCCACAGCTTCAACACTCCTGAAGAGTTTCCCAGAAGGTGTGGGCTGCTGTCAGGACTGCCTGCCAACCCGGCTGCCACCTCTCAGCACTAATGTGGCCTTCGACAGTGGGAACCATGACAGAGAAGAGTTTTGGTCTTTGCTATGGAGAAGAATCATTTTGCCAGCCTGCTGCCCGCACAAGCCAGTCAGGCATCTGGGAGTAAAAGGCAGGCAGATGCCACGTGGAAAAGCTAAATGTCTCTGGAAAGGGGACATGTGCACCAGCAGCCAATTCCTGCCAGCACAGGTGGTGCCAGTTGTATTTCCTCCAAATTCCACAGTTCCTGATTTGCCACTAAGCCCATGCGTGCCAGTGCAACCTTCCTGGCAAAGCTCTGCCTCTCCTGTCCTCTGCAGTCTTGGGGACTGGGGGCTTCCTTCCCTGTCACCTGGACTGAGGCACAATTAGCAGCTCCAGCTATGCTATTAGTGGTGGCTCAGGGGGTTCCAAGACTGAGTTGTGAGGACAGTCACCTGTCATCTCTGGGAACTGAGGGACAGGCAGGCAGAGGATGCTTGGCCCTCTGCTCTCTGAGGAAGACAGGGGAAACTCACCTTTTCTGCGAAGACCTGGTTGCCAGAGAGTTCAGTGAGGTGTAAGAATTCCAGGTGCAGGGATCCAAACTCTGCCAGGATGCTGCTGCTGCCTGCAGTGGCCCAGCCCCAGCTTCCACTGAAGAGAGACACACAGTCACCTGTGCTGGCCAGGGGCTCCTAGGACAAGAGCATCTGGGCTGCTGGAGGAAGTGCTGTGCGCTAGGCACTGGTAGGAGATGACTCATGCCACTTCTGCAGATGCTACCGACCCATTTTGCTGATGAGGATGAGGTGACCTGACTTGCCAAAGGTCATTTGGACACTTGTCTGACTCACAATGCTCTATATCATTAAGCAGTGTGTGTAAGACTTGGGGCTCAAGACCTGGCACACAAATGATATTGGCAATGCTGTCGGGGAACACAAAGGCTCCATGGGTCACTGTGACTACCTCTGACTGGAAGACAAACAGTGCTGGGACTCAGGCCCAAAGGGGGCAGATGAAAACAGGGACCCATAGCCCCTCCCTCTGTCCACCCTGTTGTTGTGGACACATATAATGGACTGGCCTAGAGTCTCTGGGGAGACCACAGCCCAGCCCTGGGCCTGCCCACTGGGGAATTGGGCTGAGATCAGGAGCACAGAAAGCATGAAGGCACCTCAGCTAGCGCTCACAGCTGTGAGGATGTGTGTCTGCCTCCAGTCACAGAACCAGGCCAGACTGACGTCCCTGCCAGTCACACAGTGGGGACAGCGCATGGACCAATGCTTGCTGAGGCCAGAGTGCCCTGCATCAACACAGTCCTGCGCAGGATGCTCCCTTCACTTGGACTTTTCACCTGCTGTCCCTGGAATCTGAAGCCAGAAGACATACGGCTGAATATTGGCTAGCTTCAGATATCAGGCTAGCTATGGCATGCTGTGTGCCTCCGTTTCCCCATCTGCACATTGCCTCCTGACCAGTATCTGGTTTTTGAGGGGAGGGAGTGATTCAACCACAGAGCTCCTTGGACTGATCACTGTCACTGTCCTAGCAGTTCGTGCTCCTTGCAGGTCACAGGTCATAGTTGGCTCTGCCTCTGCTTCCCAGGTCAGCTCTCCTGGCCAGGCAGTGCCAGAGCAGGATCACAGCCTGTCTCTTCAGCCCTTTCTCTGTAGCTGCTCACCGACAGCTCTGCTGAAACTGTAGGTATGTGTGGGTGTAGGTGCAGTGTGGAGTCCAGCGCCCAGCGGGCCTCTGAAGAGCAGACTTGGCAGCACAACCCATATGCATCCCTGCCACTCTCCCATTTTTTAGCAACAGTCTGTTGCTAAAAATGAAGGGGAAGCTTTGCCAAGAAGTAAGCATGTGTATATACACACACACTGCAGCCCAGCACACAGCAGCCTCAAAACACTGTGCTTCTTTAGTCTGTGTGGGACTAAGGGCTTTAAGCCCTGCTCCGAGGGACATAGACGAGACAGCCAGGGCTGTGGCATAGAAGAGGGAGGGGATCCTTGACAAGGTCCTGTCCCAGACCCAGGAGAACAGTGCAATTGTCCCAGCTCTGAGGTGTCAATCCTGACGAGAACACTTTCCCTCCTTCTTGATGGGCTCCACCTGGACTTCAGTAAGGGTTTGGTTTGGCCATCTTGGAATGTTCCCACTCCCGAGGACAGAGGTGAGTGCCAGTGGCGTGGGCTTGCCAAGTGTTCTTTTCTTGCATGATTAGAGAGAGTGAAGCTAGAAGCCACAGGACAGCAAGGGTTCCAACCAGAGCTCAGACTGCCTCCCTCCCAGGCATTGGCCACACCCCTGTGTAGGGTGTGTGTGAGGCCAAGACAGCTCACTCTGAGATGGAGCAGAGGTCTGGCACTATGGAACTACCATAGACTTCCTCAACTCAGCAAGTTGTGGAGCCTCAAGGATGTCCAGAGAGCTCCAGGATGTCTCTATCTTCCAGGCTCAGGATTCAAGAACAGGGATGCTGTCCTGGAGAGGGCCAGAGCCCATGACTCCCTTTGGGGAGGGAATGGTGTACCCATGGCTCCAAAGCCGTGGTTGTGGAGGAGGGTGCTGGGCCAGCCTGGTGGGCTGAGTCAAGAGAGTGCTGTGGGATGTCTACAGAGGACCAACCAGGACCAGGTGGCCTAAACCCTGAGGACCAGACTTGGTGACAAACACCAGCCCAAGGAGAATCCTTGACTAAGGCTGCTCTCAGAGTGTCACTAATTTACTTAGATCATTAAAATAGAAACTGTCCTCTCCCCATGCTTCAGTTTCTACATTTGTACAGGTGACCAAAGCCAGGGCTTCAGGCCTCCTCAGGAGGCACCTGCAGCAGATGCAGGGAATGAGAAGTGTCCTACCTTTTAAAGTTCACTATGCCCTTTGGGATTCCTGTGGGGGTGTTGAAGGCGGGCAGAAGTTTCTCTCCAAGCTTGATGGCCTTTATTCGGAACACCTGCAAGGAAGGGTCAAAGGGCAATGAGTAGGGCAGTCACTGCTGAGGGCAGGGTAAATCCACCACGGTAGAGGCTGTGACGGGCCTGCAGCCAGCCTGGGAGGGGGCCTGGTTCCTTAAATCACTGGCTTTGTGGTTTTAGATGTCATGTCTCTCTGAACCTCAATTTCTGAGAATCTGTAGAATGAGGATAAATTGTTCTCTTCAGACAGCTGTTGGGAGCAATGACAATCAGATAATCGTGGTAAATCATCCACCACCATGTCAGACCATGACAAAGGGCTGTCAGTGTGATTAGGTGACCAGTGGGAAGATGAGGGGAAAGCAGTGAAGACCTGGCTGAGTTTGAGCAGGCCACTGGTGGTCAGTGATGCCCTCACACAGGCCCACAATGTTACAGGCTGAGAACGATCGTCCCCAGAGGCTATGTACTGAAGGCGTGGCCCCCAGCTCCTTGTGTTACTGGGAGGTGCCAGAATCTCTGGGAGGCTGGGCCAGGTCAATGGTGGAGTGCCCTTGATGGAGATATGGAGACTCTGGTCCATTCTCATCTCTCTCTTTGCTTCTTGGCCATCACGAATGTCTCCTCTACCACAATGTACTGTGGCACCAGAGACCCAAAGAAGCAGGCCATGTGAACACAGACTGAAACGCTGAAACCGTGAGCCAAAATAAACTTTCTTCTTTTGAGTTGATTATCTCAGGTATTCTTGTTAGTGATGGGAAGCTGACTTATACACTGAAGATGTGGGAAACAAATAGTTCTGTCTGGCCAGGCGCCAGTGGCTCATGCCTGTAATCCTACCTAACTCAGGAGGCTGAATTTGAAGAGCGAGGTTTCAAGCCAACCCAGGCAGGAAAAGTCCATAAAGCACCAGAAAACCGGAAGTGGTGCTGTGGCTCAAGTGGTAGAGCGATTGCCTTGAGCTGAAGAGTTGAGGCCCAGAGTTTAAGCCCTACGACAGGCCCCCCCCACAAAACAAATAGTACTGTATGGATAGACTGTAAAGAGTTCTACATAACAGCTATGACCACCCCTTTCCCCAGGATCCAGAAACATCTATTTTTTTCTCCTGACACTCTGATGCCACCCACTTTAGAGTTGGGGAATGAAGAGAAAGGTCAAATGGCTTGTCCTCAGCCACCACATCATAGCAATGGAGCCATGCTGGGACCCAGGGGAAGGTCCCCTGTCCAAGGCTCTGGCTCTGTTTCTCCAAATGCCAGGTTAGTGGCAAAGGACCAGGGACCTCCTGACTCAGCAGTGTTCCTCCTAGAAATTTATTCTGAGTATGGAATAGTGGAGGTTGTAAAGTTATCACTCTATGGATTTTAGTCTAGCACTGCTCAGAACAGTGGGGGAAACAGAAATGTGCTAAATACCAACAGAAAGTGGTTAAATTAGGACTTACATGTCATGGAATACCAGGAAGACACTAAAGTCATGGAGATATTTAAGGGCAAAGGAAGAGTTTACAATATACCAAGAAAAAATTTCAAACAACATAATTCAACTTTCAAAAATTCTATGTGGATGCATGAGGAAAGGAAAAAAATGCCTCATATCAATAATGTACGCTTGTGAGGGGCAAGCTCATGGACAATGGCACTTTTCTTCTTTTGGCTCATCTCTATTTTCTCTGCAATTTGTATTTTTAAAATTTTTTGTTTGATTTGGGAATCTCACTATGTTGCCCAATATATCAATCAAACTGTCCAATATTGGATATAAACAACAAAAGAGGAAGGATTTATTTAGGGGTTTCAGTCTCCCATGAAGGGCAGAAGACAGAGTGGGTGGGAGAAAGGGAAGTAGAGATAGCCAAATACACAGAAGGAAGAAAAAGGGGCAGGGGGAGGGAAGACAGAGGGGGGGGTGGGGAGAACAAGCTCTGTACTTAAGCGTTTCCTCTTTCTTCCCTGGTTTATTCCATAGGAGGTGCCTCAGCTTATTGGATGGTGCTACTCATATTCAAGGCATATGTTTCTCCCTTTGTTCATCCACTCTGAAAAGCTGTACAAGACATCTAGAAGTATGCTTTACTAGTCTCCTGGGGGCTTTCAATCCAAAGGAACTGGTGGTAGTACATGCCTGTAATCCCAGCTCCTCAGGAGGTAGAGATCTGGAGGATCATAGTTCAAGGAGAGCCCAGGCAGTTTGTGACACCTCCATGTAAATAAACTAGGTGCATGTGGTTTACACTTGTAATACTAACTATACAGGAGGATAGCTAAGAGGAGTGTTGTGTTGTGTTGCGGCTGGTCCAGGTAAAGAGTTTGAGATCATGTCTTAAAAAAAATAACTAAGGGGGCTGGGAAGGTGGCTCAGTGGTAGAGCGCTTGCCTTGCATGCCTGAGGCCGTGGGTTCGATTCCTCAGCACCACATAAGCAAAAAGAAAAAAGCCAGAAGTGGCGTTGTAGCTCAAGTGGTAGAGCACTAGCCTTGAGCTGAAGAGCTGAGGGACAGCGCCCAAGCCCAGAGTTCAGGCCCCACAACTGGACCCCCCCAAAAAAAATAACTAAGGCCAGGCACTGGTGGCTCACGCCTGTAATCCTAGCTACTTAGGAGGCTGAGATCTAAGGATCATGGTTCAAAGCCAGCCTGGGCAAGGAAGTCGGTGAGACTCTTATCTCCAATAAATCACCAGAAAACCGGAAGTGGCACTGTGGCTCAAGTGGTAGAGCACTTGCCTTGAGCTGAAGAGCACCCAAGCCTAGAGTTCAAGCCCCATGATCAACAATAAAAATAACTAAGCAAAAATGGCTGGAGGTATGGCTTAAGTGACAGGATGCTTGCCTAACAAGGGCCAAGGTCAGATTCTCCTACCTGGAGCCACGTGGCCTCAGTAGGAATGTCCTATCTGAGCCTCATTGTCCCCATCTACACAATGGAACAGTACTGTGTACCCTAGTTTCCTCACTGGGTGTTTTGGTAACTCAAACAAGAGGAAGTTTATTGTAAACTGTGAAGTACTGTGCCAGCACCACCTTGGGCAGCCTGCTAGCTCATCTCTTGAAAGTTGCTTCTCCTCCTGTAGCTTCCTTCCTCGGAGGCAAAGACAGATTGTGGTGGCAGCAGGGATGGGGCTGCTTTTCCCAGTCTTCCACATATATTCGTGGGAAATTGAAACACTGGGGAGACTCAGTCGACAGGCATCCACTGTATGTGGACCAGGGACAGAGAAGAGGAGGGCTCAGCCAGGTATGGCTGAGCCTTGGTCACAAACAAGGACAATGGAGGCATGGGATAGAAAGGCTAGTGGGTCAGGAGTGAGGCTGGGACACATCCCTTACTGACTAGGTCAGGAGGTGACTCTGTTTCCTTATTTGCACCTCATGGGAATTTGAGTTCCCTCCAGTAGGTGTCTGGAAGGGGGTAGAACCCAAGGACAGTGAAGAACGATGGGGGGGGGTATGTTTCCTGTCAGGGACAGAAGCAGAGCCTGCTGTCCTGGGGTGCAGACTGCTTTGCCCTTCTGAACCATTTCTTAAGTTCCTGGGGCCCCTGTCCACAGCCACCTTCCAGGGGGTATGCACAGTAGGAAGTGAGAGTGAGGTTCCTTCAGGGAGTCCAGGGCTCAGAACCACAGACACCCCTGGAGGTGGGAGGGATGGCTGGAAGGGAGAAGAAGGGAGGGGACTGTGGGCCGCCTGAAGACCTCTAGCCACTTTTGGAAGTGCTGACTTGAAAGGCAACTGTAAGCCTTAGCCACATCCATCTCCCACTGTCTGGGAGGCCAGGCCACTGCGTGTGATGCGCATGAATGCCTATTCTCTGCTCCTTCTGTCACTTTTCAGCCTTGTGGTTTTCAAATATCATTCAGGCTCTGGGTGGCTGGAAGCCGAGGGCTCCCAGCTACAATTTTTGGTGACAAATTGGTACAAGCAGTAATCTCTGCTGAGAAGATTATGTTTGATGCAGAGTTGCTGGAAGCGACGAGAGAGATAGGGGGCATGTTGCCTCTGAGTCCTGACTTCAGTCTTGCAGCTGAAGGTGAAGAAAGGTAGAAATGCCTCTGGTCAGTGGAGGGGATAGGGATTCTCTGTGGCTCTGGGTAGAGGACAGAAGGCAGAATTGTCTGGTGGGCAAAGCAGGAGGATCAGGACCCAGGGCAGTGGCTGAGCTGGGCAGCGCTGCCCTTCTAGGTCATGAGATCAATGGCCTGTGTTCTGGAGACTGCCAGTCCGGCCAGGAGTTCACGAGAAGGGGATGAAGAAGTCTCCCATTCTGCAGAGCTCTACGATACTCAGAATTATCTGACAAAGAGGAGAATGTGAGTTCTGGAGTGACAGCTCTGGACCAAATCCTATTCCTCCTATCCCATTTCACAGCAGCTCTTAGGCCTAAGGCATGTCATGACTTCCATGACCAAGGAGGGAAGCCGAGGGATAGGAGAAGAGGACTGGCCTGTGGCAAGTGAGGAGGTAGAATGAGGCCCATGACTGTGGGTGGCTCTTCTTTGCCTGCCCCCACATGTCACAGCTTTCCTCATAAAAGCCAGCAGGGGGGTCCCAGAACAAGGCCGGGCATGTATGGCCTACCAGAGGTAATGGCCTGTATCCTCACTGTCCCACTGGGACCCAAAGCTGGCACCCAGTTGGCATGTGGCTCAGGAAGGGACAAAAGAGGAAGCTATGGAATAGGACAAATCCAGGACTCCAGAACTGGAAATGATGAACAATAGTAGTCTTGCTTTGTTAGTCCCAAGAGCAATGCTGCTGTCTGATGGTGCTACGCATGGTGATCAGAAAAGGCACAGTTGTTGCCCTTGGAGAGCTCACTACCTGCTGTGGGAGCCAGGTGCTCACCAGGGTGGCAGGACTGAGCAGCAGAGTAGACAAGGAAGAGCCTTCGGGTGGCACCTGAGGTGCTTGTTGGGGTTCTTGGGTGGCCTCTGGCAGATTACCTGCCCCTTGACTTCTGCTTTCGCTGGTAGGAGGGTAGGACCATGTATTTCCTAAGGCCGCCTTTCCAGTCTGCACAGTCCTAGTGTCTCAAAGGGCCAACTCACCTCTTCTCCTGTCAGGTAGTAGGCTGAGAGGAGTCCTCCAATGTAGCGAATGTTCACCTCAAACAAGGATGCTTCCCCACTCTGCAGAGCAGAAAGCAGAGGGGAAGTAAAGATACCTGCAAAGACACCTGTGAGTTTCCAGAGCCAACCAGACCTCCAGACCCCCATCAACACATACCTTGGCCCCCCAGTAGGACAGACCAGGCTTCATAGCAAAAGCTGAGAAGGGTGAACACCTGCTTGGCAGTTACTACCGCATATTTACAGCATTCCAAATAAACACTGGACTTGGCTCCTTCACCAGATCTTAGGGCTCCAGGCCATTAGTGCAGTTATGCCTGGCTGCACTCCAGTGAGTTCCAGGACTTGTGTTGGGAGCTACTGGTGAAGCTTACCCCAAGGGGCAAATCTTCTTCTAATCCACTTCTCCTCTTCCCTGAGAGCCCCAAGGCTTGCGTGGTAACTGAGAGGCCCTTCCCCAGGGTGATGGGCAGGAAAGGTTCTCAAAGGAGGCTGTGGGCAATGAGGCAGGGCTAGTCCTAAATGCAGGCTGGTGTATGCTCGGAAACCTGCAGATTCTTTGTGTTGGGCCTGTCAACCAGGGTTGTTGAGGCAACTTACAAACACCAGGCTTGGGTTAAAATCCCACCTGGGTTACATACCTGGCTTTGGGATCTGAAGTAAGACATCTTGCCTTTCTCTGCCTGAGACTACTCCTAGGGCTGCAGGGTGGAAAGAAGTTGCCAGAACCACTGGTGGGAGGCACCTGTTGTTACCTTCTTTGCCTCCCTCTGGCATACTTTTATTGAGAGCAACAACCATCAACTGCTAACCTGCAAGAACCTTTCCATCATCAACATGTATGGGAAGCTACTCCCTTTCAGCCTAACAACCCTCTTGGGTGGTCACCTCTTTTCCATATGAGAATGCTAAGGTTCAAAGAGGTGATCCCACCTTGCTTTCCCCTAGGGACACTCTAACCTGCCCCAGACTGCTTGAACATCTCTAGGCTCCCTGGCCACCTGGGCAGTGGCTGCTGCCCAGAGGAACACAGACGACAAAGTGGGCCCCTAAAGATGCCCTTTCCCTCCCCTCCCTCCTCCCATCAATAGGGAGGATGCTACTCTTCCCTGACTAACACATAATACCACTGAAATCACAACCAGCCTCAAGATGACCACAGAAATTATGATGAAAAGGATGCCACTTTATCTTTGTGGTTTACAGAGCCGTACAAGCTTTCTACAATACTCCAAGTAGTCCTCACATCAAGTCCAGGAATCAGGCCTTGCTGTGGTCACTCTGTCTTAGTGAGGGATACCAAGGCCGAGGGAGGCAGAAGCCTTTTTCAGACCTGCCTCTGGGGGACACTACTCTCTCACTGCTTTCCAGCCCCCACCCTGCCCTCAACTCTGTGCTGACTAAGACACTCCTTGAGGGAGCAGGGGCTTGCTTCACTTCTGCCTGGCCGCAGAGCTGCCCCAGGTGTTGCACCTCAGAACCTGGCACTTGTGGGGCCCTGCACTAGCTCTCAGCAGGCGAAGCTGTGCTTCCTCCTTCCTGCCCAGAACTCTCCACTTCTTATTCCTCAAATCGACATGTGACACGTGGCTTCAGGCCAAATCCACTGTTTAGTCTGGACTGTGAGAGCTATGGAGTGGGTCTCAAGTCTTTTGTTCCATCCAGACACTTGAGCATCCCCTCAGCAAGGCCCTTGGCCTTTAACCCTCACCAAGGATGCCTGCAAGAATGGCAACCAAGAGGTCCTGAGCTTGGTCCTGGGCCCACCACATTGTCTCAAGAGAGACAAGCAGGGGACACGCAGAGCTGACATGGGTGGAGAGATGAGCCACTTCTTCCTCCAGACAGCCATTCTCTGCCCTCACTGCTGTGGCTGTTGCTTTGCGACAGATGCAGCATCAGAAGAGCTGTCCTGGGTGTAAGTGATCTGCCCTAGATGAGCAATGGTGAATGAAAGGGCAGGAATGAAAGGGAGAGTCTTTCTCCTCATGGGAGGACTTCAGGCTGGGGGGAGGGAGGAGGCTTCATGCAGCCCTGGTTCTGGGACTGTCCTGCTGTGCAGCCTTGGTATCTTGGGTTTCAAAGATCTCTTGGGGAGTTGGCTGCTGACAAGTTTTAATACCCTGAGGGTCTCCAACTCACCACATTCAGGTGGAAGCTTTCTTCTACCCAGGTCTTGGCTTCCTGGAACTCCTCCATCAGCTCCATGAGATACAGAGTGTCCAGAGAATCAATGATTGTTGCCCCACTGAGGCCACCTGCAGGCAAAGAGGATTAAAGTGTGGCTTGGTATCATTATTATCCTTCCCATCCCTGTTCTCCAGGGACCCCAGATACAGGCAGGCTCCAAGGCATGATCCAAGGGGACTCCAATGCCACAAGCAAATGCGTGAAGATCTCACGTCTTCCTGGTGGCTGCTTCCTCTCTGCAAAAGCAGGGAAGGAGACAGCACTAGGCGAGTCCCTTCTTTGACCTTCCTGAGCCTCCAGAGTAGCATGTATTACAGATGTAAGCCACCAGTGCCTGGGTTCTTACATTATTTATTTCCATTAAAAAGGAAAAATTTGGGAAGAAATCCAACTAATGCACAAATCAACACAACTTGAGTGTATAAAGGAGCCATACTCCCGTCCCTGTTATTGAACTTTAGAACCTGGCCCTGGGTGCTAATTGCAAAGACTGTTTTCTAACAGTCCATACTATGAGAATAAGACCTTGTGTGGTACAGAGAGCCTGCAGTCGAGAAGACTAAAGGAGTGGGGAGGAAGAAGGATAAGCCTAGAGCCATCTGGGGGGCTTCTTGAAAGAGGTGGCTGTCTATTTCTCAAGAACACCTTAAAACTAATTATTACAGAAAGCAACCACCTCCGTAGGGACCAGAATATAGTAGTCAATTGTATCTTTTGGGGATCCCTACTTTATATGTTTAACTTAAGCATATTTGCATATGACCTCCGCACATTTTCCCCTACACTTGACCTCATCTCAGATCACTTACAATAGCTAGTACAAGGTGAAAGCTGTATAAGCAGCTGTTACACTGTTCAGGGAACAATGACAAGAAATACATTGTCAGGGAATGTTCAGCACAGAGAATTTATTTTCCTGTGTTTTTCATCTCTGGTTTGTTGAATCCACTGATGGAGATGCTGAGACCCCACTGTGTTGCCTTCAGAAGAGTTACTGCCCCACAGTATCCTCCTTGGGGGTGGTACTGAGTCACAGGCCCCATCCTCCCATACAGGACTGGAGCTGCTGAGGGGCCCCCTCCACCCCACCATGCATTCAGAGTTCAATCTGGGCCCCTCAGCCAATACTGGTCTAATTGCTCACTTGTGTTGCTGCTGCAGACAGAGAATGCTGAAACCTAGCCATGGCCAGGCAGGGTCTGACAAGGAGTCAGGGAGAGGGAAAGGGAGAGGGGGAGGAGGAGGGAGAAGGGAGAGGGAGGAAGATACGGCTTAAGATTAAACAGCATTACCAGAAGAGAGGGTTGGCTGTGCAGGTGAGGGTGCAGCCATGCACTGGCTTAGAAATTAGGGCTGAGGTGAATTTCTAGAATGCCAGCCCCTTCCACACTTCCAGTCCATTAGGAGACACAAGCCAGGCCAGATAGTCTTTCTTGTCCCAGCTGCCTCCCTCTAGGTGTCAGGCTGGAGGTGCTAAGGCCAGGGAACCGTGATGGGTAACAGATGCATGGAGAGAGGCTAAAGCCAGCACAGGCTGGTGCCCATGCTCTTGCACTGCAGCTAGGCCAGCAACCTGCAAACCTGATGTTTTAAGGGTCCAGAGGGATCCTGCTACTCCACATCTCAGATGATGCCCAAAGGGCTGAGATGCAAGGGGACCTGTCCCAGCACTAGGCAAGGTGATGAGCTCCCCATTGAGCATGTGGCTTCTCAACGCTCTGCAAATACTCTCCAGTCTGACTGCTTGCCCTGCTATGCCTGCCCCAGTGGTTCTCCAGGCCTGCTAAGGCCAGCAGAGTGGCCATAGTATCTGATTTTGGAGACCTTTTCCTGGGCCACCTGTGGGTTCACCTTACAGACCCTCTGACCCCTGGGCCAGGCCAGGAGGCAACAGGGCTTCTCGTGACCAGCTCTGCCCTGTAACATCTCTGAGGACACCCGATATGGACAGCTGAGAAGCAGCTGGCTGAGGTTTGTTGGCAAAGTCCTGGCCCTGCTCTGGGCTCCTTCTCTGGGTTGGCTGCTGTCCACCAAGGCACTCACTGGAGAGCCTTTCATTCAGGCTAGGGGTTACCCAGAGGCCAGGCTGGGTAGGAAGGCTCTATCCCCAATCCACCCTATGTGTGGCCTGGCAGTTCCCCATGGAAAAACACATGCCCTACAGTAAACAGGCCAAGGACTTGCACGTGAAAGACCTACAGGCCTCAAAAAGGCACCCTCAACCCTCCACTGGGACTGGAGCTGAGGTGGGCTCCAGTTGAGCCCTCACTAGCTCTGAATTCTTCGTTTCACAAAGGACACCCCATTGTGAAGGAAGCAAGAGGCAGTGAAGAATTCCTGTAGGCTAGAACTCAATGCTGGGTTACAATCCTAGCAATACATCTTCTCTAACCATCAATGTTTTCTTCTGTCAGGTAAGGTGGAAAGCTGTGGGCGAAGCACCAGGGAACCATGCCCTGACCCTGACATGCTTGCTATCCACACAGCTGACACATCTGTCCCTAATTGGAATGGACAGGTACTTGACACACCAGATCACTGGCCCCCTGTGCTCTGGACAGTCCTTCCACAAGGTCTTTGGGATCCCATTAGTGTCTGCTGTGTGTGAATGACCCTCCTCTCCAGCCAGCCAGGCCTCCTGAGAAACCTCTGGGCAACCACTGTGTCCCTTGGCCTCCAGCACAGGTACTGCCCCTTTTTGAAAGAGTTGTTTGTGTCCTTTTCCTGTCCACAACAGCAGGGATTATGGTCTGGATCAGAGACAACCTTGTACTCAGGAAACAGCTGCTGACTGCCCAAGGAACAAAGGAGGCTGCTGCAGTCTGCTCCTATGCCCCAGGCCTGGTGCTGGGTCTCCACTGGCCTGGCCTTCCAGCTCTGGTGCTGGCCTTCCTCCACTGGCCTGGACTTCAGTGCACCTTGCCTCTTGCACCTAGCTCTGTGACTGCTGTTCCCAGCATCCTTTGCTGGTCCCTCTCATCTGCCCACATCTAAGCACTGGGTGAGTCTCCCTCTTAGTCTTGTTTCTTCTCTGCAGTCTCCCTCCACCTCAGTGATTCCAGAACATGAAACAACTCCTAGGTTTAAATTTCCAGCCAAGACTTTGTTCCCAGCCCCCAAATAGACACATCCAACTCCCTGCCCACATCCATTCGCCCCCTCTACTGGAAGGCTGTAGGCATCTCTCCTTTTAATGTCTGTGAGCAATCCTGCTCTACTTCCAAACACTCCCAGCCCCATCCTGCTGCCTACTGCTTCTCCCAAGGGCCATGCCCCTACAATGTGCCCCTACAATGTTTCTCAGGCCTTACCAGTCCTGCAACAAATCAATCCTAAGCGCCTCCTAATCATCCCCAGGGCTTCTACCTCCTCCTCTACCCTGTCCAATTTTCTCCTGTGGCCAGAGGAATTCCATAAAGATGCAAGCCATACCAGCCACTGCACTCTGTAACTCAAGTCCTTCCCATCTAACTTGCAGTCGGTCCATCCATACTCAGGGCCTGTGATCCGGCCCCATCCCCTCAGCATCTGTCCCTCACACCAGGTGTACAACTGAGCCTCCCAAGCCTGGGCCTGATGGCTGAGGGTTCTTCTGCTGAAATGGCACCCCTTGATGTCCTGTCCTATTTTTCTCTTGACCTGTAGGACCAGGGGCAAGGCACAGGGTCTGCTCACCTGACTGCATCTGTTCTCACAACTGCTACACCTGCAACACTGCAGCGCTTCCCAGATGGGGCCCCAATGTGCTGGGAAGGAAGCCCCTGCCTTGGGGAGAATGGGCAGGTCTGGGGGCTGTTGCCCACTCACATTCCCAGCACTTACATACCACCTGGGTGGGAATTTGTCAGGCTGAACAAACTTGGTCCCCTGAGCAAGCATCAGTGGTGACCATGTCCAGGGCTAGGTTAAGTCCACTCCAGGAGCCAGTGACAATGGACAGAGATCTCTCTCAGCTGTGGCGGCCTAGCTGGGATGATCAAGCATGCCGAAATCACAGCCTTTCAGGGACTTCCTATTGGGAGGTTGTTTCGTCTCCCAAGACCTCCTCCCAGGACTGCCTCCTCAGAAGCCACCTGCCCGTCTATGTTGTGGTTTGTATCCTCTCTGGACTCTGTCCTGTTAATGACAATGAGGTTTTATGGGATGTTTTATTAGCAGAGAGAAATGGGTCAGGCAAGGCAATTCCAGCTTTGGGAGGAACATTTAGGAAAAAAAAAAACCACCCAAGGCATAGCCTATTATCATAGCATCCCCAGAGTCAACACTAATGGCTGCGTTTAATTTAATGATATCATCCACAGAGACTTAACTATAAAGAAAAACACGAATGTTTTTCTCAGCCTCCAAAGAAACCATGGAGGCTGTGTGGCAGCTGTCTTTTTTCAAAGATGGCCACCATGGCGCCTCTCACCTGACAGCAACGGGGCTCTTCCTGCAACCTTGGTTGTCCTCCCGTGGTGTCTCCCTGGACCAACAAAATAAAGCAGAGGAAGAAGGTGCTTGTTTCCAGGTGCAGACCTGAAGAAACAGGCAGCTTCCCCTTTATACCTGTTGGGCTGACCAGCCACCACACTGTGAGGGAGCCCAAAACAGTCTGCCAGAACACAATGGGAGGCCACAGGCAACAATCCTCCTACCTGTGCCTCCTGACTAGCCGGGATCATAGATGTGCTCCATCAAACACAGATTTTTTTTTTTAAGATGGGGTCTTGGTAACTTTTCTCCCAGTCTGTCCTCGAACCACAATGCTCTGAATCTCTGCCTCCCAAGTAGTTAGGGTTATAGGAGTAGGCCACTGTGTCTGGTCTTAGAAAAAGACATTTTTTAGGAACTATTCCTGGAATTGAACAGAATGTTCTCACTAGAGGTGGATTAGTAAAAGATGATCACATCATTTTTTTAAAACTCACATTTAAAACTCATCTGGCTATCTGATAGAGCCTAGTAAGCACAAGGCAGTGAGTTCAAAACCCAAATACTGTCTGTCCTTCCATTCCTGCAAAAAAAAAAAAAAGCCCTCATTTTACTCTGGTCCCCAGGGAACAGTGTGTAGCCTTGTGAACCAGGC